ACCGGCATGGTGCACTTGTGACAAGTAGTAAGCAGGTGGAGACTAAAGCATCATTTTTGTCCCTGAACAAAGAGAATATCCCAGAACATGACCTGGCCTTGCTGGTTTCCTAGCCAAGTGGACCTGACAATTCTTCCCTAAGTTAGGAAGCTGTAGGCACCAAGGAGCAGGGCATGGCTGGCATGGAAAGGGGCTCAGTCCGGTCTCCCAAACACACTAGTCAGGGAAACTGACTCTCTTGGTGAGAGGGTGAGTGGGGCAGAGAGATGTCTCCCCAACCAGGAACAAAGAATGGAGTGATGTTTTTATGGGGAAGTTAGGAATGGTGCTTGACTGGCAGGGTGCAGAAGAAGGGCGTCCCAACCTCAGAAGCTACAAAGGCAACTGGGTGTGAGGTCTGAGGGTTGAACAAAACTTTCAGAGTGGTAAGGGCAGAAAATTTGGTACAAAAATACAAGTTATTAGGGAGGCGACAAGGCTTGACTTGACTCTGGATATGGTGGTGATGGTGTCCCCCGGGATCATGGGACTGTTCACTGAAACCTAGCTTACACAGGGAGAAACAGATTGAGGAGAGACATAATGAGGTGGGTTTTGAGTAGTTAGAACTGCTTAGGCCCATGGGCCAGCAGGGGAAAGACAGGCAGGAAATGTATGCTTGAATCATCAGCATGTTCACTCTGCAAATATTTATCAAGCACCTAATGTGTGCCAAGAGCTTTCCTAGGTATTGGGAATGACATGGGAGAAAGATAACTGACCAGATTCCTGCCTACATGGAATTTAGAATCTAATTGTGGGGACAGGTATACAACAAAAATATATGAGTAAATATTCACAACAAATTTCTTGTTAGAAGACAAATTATTCTAGGTGTTACGAGAAAGCACCAGAGAGCTCAGGGAAGCAGGAAACAACATTGCTGAGAAGAGGGAACCCAGATAGTTTATGCAAAGGCCCTGTGGTAGAAAGATGTTGGTTTTCCCAGGGAGCCAAAATAGGGCCAGAGCGTAGACAGTTGTGATCACAGAGTAGACTTAGAGAATGAAGGTGAAGAGTCAGGGATGGTGGCTCATATTTTTATCTTATTCTAGGTCCCATGGGAAGTCATCAAAGAGTTTTTCAAGTTTTTTGCCCAGAGTGAGAGGAGGTTCCTATAATCACTCAAATGAGAAATTCTTTCACTAGAGTGATGGCAGGGGAGGTAGAGAGTGGGAGGGATTTGAGAAGCTGTGGAGATACAAGCAGTAAGCCTTGGTGATTAATTGGAATTGAAGAGAGGAGGGAAAAGGAAGAAAGCAGCAGATGTCCCAGGTTTGCATTGAGCAGCTGGCAAAGGGGGTGCTGCTCACTGAGAGAGGGTCCGGGTAGGAGCACGTGGAGTGTAAGGTGGTGGGACATCCAAGGGAGGGGCCAAAGAGCTGACTGAAGATGTGGGTCTGGCGTGGGGACCAGGTGTCAGGGCCACAGGTATGAATCTGGAAAACAGTAGCTGACTGAAGATGTTTAAAGTCATGGGCATGAGTGAGACAGAAGAACCTTTAAAATGATCTGGGAAGAATGGCCAGGACTCAGCCCTGGAGACCCCAGTTTTGAAGACCGAGGGGTCTTCAGTAAAGGAGCTGGAGTGGTAGTTGAAACAATGAGTCAGTTGGGGTTAAGATTTTTTTAGGCGAAGGATTTGGGGGGTGGTCCCAGAGAAAAGAAAAGAATGCTTCTAAATATTTGAGGAGTGACCACATGTTAGAGTGTAGACTCATTTTGTCTTCACTTGCAGTATGGTCATTGGCTTAACATAAGGAAAAATGGCCCAAATCCAGAGCTGTAAATAGCTAAAAGGATCTAGAGGGAATTCATCTTCAGATGGACACTTGGAGGAGATAATCTTCCAACTCTGAATCCCGTCATTCTGGTTTATGTCTGAAACAAGGGAAAAAGAAGAATTTGCTTTGTTGCAACCTTAGCCTTCTAACAAAAACACCAGAAACTAGATCCAGTCACCAGGTACATATTTATGGAGCTCCTACTGCATGCTGGGCCCTGGGACTCGGTGGCCCTCCCGGAGTCTGAGGATGGACACCTTAGGTTCCCTGGGATGTGCCTATATCCCTCCTGCCTGGCAAGTGCAAGTCAGGGCTCACCTTCCACATCTCCCTGCTGGTCACTGGAGTGCAGCAAAACATCATTGTTGGAAAGAGAAAAGACTCAGTTTAATAACACATGAGGTCAAGAGGTGAAACAGATGGTCTCCAGCATTTAGAAAATTATTAGAAAGTTCAGTTCCACTTCCTCATCAAGTAAAAATTCCCTTTCATCAGAAGACAAATAATCCCATATTTTCACCACTGATATCACCCACGGAGGTGAGGGTGGTTCGATGTGGTGTTTCAGTGCAGAGGAATTTAGGGTACAGAGCTTCATTCAGCCCTCCCAGACAGTTCCTAGAAGCCACGTGTCTATGCCCAAGGAGGCAGCAGAAACGAAGCCAAAAGTTTATGATGCAATTAATAGTTATGCTGTTTGTGCTTTTCTTGAAAGGTCTCACTCCCATTCTTTCAGTAAGCCTTTCCCCCTTGAAAAGTGCCACATGTTCATTATTAGCCTTTGTTAATTCCTTCATCAAATATTTATAGAAGGTGCTGGATAAATGAGGAGGAGCAGGGGCGATCCAGAGGAGAGGAGGGAGGTGGTGGAGAGTGTCAGCAGGTTCTCTGAGTGCAAAGAACAGAAATTCATCCAGCAAGATTGATGAGCGAGGGAGGCTGGGGGAAAGAAGGGAAAACTTCTAGAAGGGAAGGAGAAGGAGAGGGTGTAAAGAAAGGACGGGGGTGTGGGGGAGATCCCTGGGTTGGCTCAGCAATTTGGTGCCTGCCTTAGGCCCAGGGCGTGATCCTGGGGACCCGGAATCAAGTTCCACATCGGGCTCCCTGCAGGGAGCCTGCTTCTCCCTCTGCCTGTGTCTCTGCCTCTCTCTCTCTCTCTCTCTCTCTCTGTGTGTGTGTGTCTCATGAATAAATAAATAAAATATTAAAAAAAAAAAGAAGGGAAGGGGATGGGCAGGAGTGAGAGGAGAGGGGGTGGGGCGGGCAGCAAAGGGGACAGGTTGTCCAAAGAACAACTGCTAAGGGGCATTCCCTTCAGGGCACCACCTATGAAATAAATCTGTTCCAACTGTTTTGTTGTTGTTGAAAATTCAAATGCCAGACTGTCAGGGGTCAAATTCCAGAGGAGAGAGTCTGATTGGCTGGATTTTTGCCACAACCTTTGGGAAGGTGGGGCATGTTGTTTGACACCATATTGGGGGTGGGGGGGAAAGGTAATTCCTCCAAGGAAAATCAGTTGCAGTCTGGTGGGGGAAACATGAAGAACTGGCAGAGGAAGTGAGGAAGCTGAGCCTTGCAGAGATGGTGGAGAATGTGTCCAGCAGATAGAGCAGCACATCCAAAGCCATGAATTGAGAAAGGACCAGAACTGAGGAAGGGGCAGCTTGTAGCCCCCCTATAGTTGCAGGAGTTGCCATGGGGAGGGAGAGGCAGGTGGAGTGGTGGTTGGGTTTTCTCTAAGTTGAGATGCCATAAAAATATCCTAAAAGAGAAAGTAAGGTGATCTGGCATTCATTTTAAAAGATCACCTGGCTAGAAGGTAGAGAGTACGTGAGAGTGTGCTCAATCAAGTAAGCCCTCTCTGTGCCCTTGGTTTAGCACAGGGTTGTGGTTGAGAATGGAGCATGGACCGTGTAGGGGAAGAAAAGCTTCCTCAACCTTCTTCGGTTCATGAGTGGAGTGTGCAAATTAAACTGACAAAGGACAGCTTAATAGGAGAAAAAGCATACAGATTTTGTTTTTAATTTTATGTACACAAGGGTTTCACAGAAAAGTGAAAACCCAAAGAAGTGGTTAGACTTGGGGGCTTATGTACCATTTTAACAAAAGGCATTATATTGTGGGAAAGAGCCAAGAGAAAGATGAGGGGGCTTCTTCTAGGAAGCAGTAAATTGTGGGAGGTAAATATATGGGGGAACCAATGGCAGAGAGTTATTTAGTAAGGTTTGCTTATGCAGAGTTGCCTTAGTACCATCTCCACCTCTGCCATTAGGGTTGCTCCCCCAATCCTAGTACAAGAGAAGCCTAGGACATCTTCACAAGGGGAATTTATGCCCTGTGTTCAGGCAGATAGCTGGAGAGCAGAGAGCCCTTCCTGTGGTAGCTTTTTCTCAGTTACCTTCACTCCAAAATAATCGTTCTGCCAAAGTAGCATAGTTTAGGGTGGCATATCTGATCCCCTTCAAAGGCACAGGACCAAGATCAGCCAAGGGGTGGGGCTGGGAAGTCAATTTACAAGAAGGACAAAATGAACGTCACGGAGGCAGGACATGCGGAGCAGGAGTCAGCGACGAGAAGAGTAAGCAGAGACCATGGAGCCAAGTCTAAGACCCAGGGTGTCCTTGAAAATGGGGAGGAGCCCACAGGTACCAGGCACCCAAGTAGGCAGGACAAGGATGAGGAAGGAGCAGGAGACACTGTGAGTCGAGATAAACAACAAGGTCCAAAGTCTGCAGTGGCTGAGACAGGCCAAGAGGAACGGAGGAGTCCACAGGAACAGCACCAGGAGGCAAGCTGTCTGCCCTCTGGGTCCCTGGCCTGACTTCTTGTCAGGGAGAGGAGATGTGTTGGGGAGGGTCTTGACTAAGGGAAGTACAGTCTTCCTGAGTCTCCTTTAGTGAAGAGCAGGGGTGATTCAGGGAAAGGGGCTTGGGGGCTAGACAATGAGATTCACAACTAGGAACTTTTCCTGCTGATCCTGTTGATGTACCTGCACAGATGCACAGAGGTTTGTTCATTAAGGCATTATGTGTAACAGCCAGCAAACAGACTAATAAACAAACAAGGAAATAGCCTAAAGGTACATGAGTAGGAAATTGATTAAACAACCATGGGCATCCGTACAGTGGAATATGGTGCACCGTTAAAAAGAATGAAGTAGGTCCATATGTGTTGACATAAAGTAATGTCTAAAATGCTTTATTTGAAAAAAATCCAATTACAGAACAGGAGTACAGTGTGATATCTGTGTGTAAGAACAGGGGTATACAAATATGTGCTAATATGCATATTGAAAATCTTTAGAAGGAAAGACAGAATGTTAACGGTGGGCTTTTTTGTTATTTTAATATTGTAATATTTTGGAAAAAGGACTATAATTTTATGTGAAAATTAAATAAAATAATTCTAATTTAGTTTACAATAGATGGTGACATGTGACAAGCATGTTTAGTGTCCGTATAGAAAATTAATATGAACTTAAGATAGTTATAAAAGTTTCATGATGGAAAGCAAATTTTCAGTAAGAATTAACCAATAGGGACACCTGGGTGGCTCAGTTAAGTGTCCATCTTTGGCTCAGGTCATGATCCCAGAGTCCTAGGATTGAACCTCACATCAGGCTCCCTGCTCAGTGGGGAGACTGCTTCTCCCTCTCCCCTTACTCCTCCCCAATGATCATACTCTTTCTCTCTGTCAAATAAATAAATAAAATCTTTTTTTTTAAAGCATCAGTAATGTTAAGGAAGTTTTTGCCTATTATTTCATTTTTTATTCATGAATATAAATATGTTTTCTGGTCAAAATGTTAGTATCCAAATAGCACTTGAATTATTTTTTTATATTTTTTTTACTAAAATTCAATTTGCCAACATAGAGTATAACACCCAGTGCTCATCCCATCAAGTGCCCTTCTCAGTGCCCATCACCCAGTTACCCCATCCCCCCACCTATCTCCCTTTCCATTACCCTTTGTTTGTTTGTTTCCCAGAGTTAGAAGTCTCTCATGGTTTGTCTCCCTCTCTAATTTTTCTCTCTCTGCTTCCCCTCCTTTCCCTTATAATCCCTTTCACTATTTCTCATATTCCACGTATGAGTGAAACCATACATGTTCATCATCTGATGAACAGTGGTTTTGTCTGAAAAGAAAGCCTGGGGTTAGGAAGGTGCATTTCTACTTTCCTCCTATTTGATTTCTCTTTCTGTGAGCATATCTTATTTCTATAAATATTAATTAATAAATACTGTTTTTAAAACCAGAGTAAAGAAAGATCCATAACTCATTAGAAATAGAAGGGATCTTCTGTAACTCATTGGAGGACATTTGCCAAAAACCTACAGCAAATATCACATTTAGAGATTAAATGAGAAACCTTCCTTTAATGTCAGGCATGAGACAGCAATGCCCACTGTGTGTGCTTCCATTCAACCACACAAAGGATTTAGGTTCTAACCTGTGCATTAGGAACAGAAAAATTAATAAAAGGTGTAAGGTAGAAAGGAGAAAACAAAACTGTCATAAGTCACAAATAATGTGATCATCTGCATAAAAATTCATGAAAATATTTGAACTAGTACATTTTTTTAAACTAAGAGTTTATCTTGGCTGCTGAATTTTAGGCTGATATTTAAAACTCAATGTATTCTTATATACTGGCAACAGTGCAATTTTAAACTACAATTTATAAGAGCAAGAAAAATTTTATAACCAAGGAATAAGTATAACAAAATATGTGTATGATTTCTATAAAGAAAATTGTGAAACTACAATTATAAAATTTACAACATAAATTACACAATTTACAAAATTGTTTAAAATGTATGTATTGAAACACATTAGGGATGCCTGAGTGACTCAGTAGTTGAGTGTCTGCCTTTGGCTCAGGCTCAGGGTGTGATCTTGGAGTCCTGGGATTGAGTCCCGCATTGGGACCCCTGCATGGAGCCTGCTTCTCCTTCTCCCTGTGTCTCTACCTCTCTGTGTGTCTCTCATGAATAAATAAATAAAATCTTAAAAAAAAAAAAGAAACACATTAAAAAGGAGGAGAGCTATATACCATCTTCATGGATAGAGATACTCAATATCTCATAAAGATGTAAGTAAAATCCATATAAATATATCAATTCAATGCAATACCAGTCAAAGCCCCAAAAGGAATTTTGATGAAATTGACAAGCTTATCTTGGAGTTTAGATGCAAAAGCAAACAAGACAAAGATTTAAGACTATTTTGAAGGAAGAGGGCAAGGTGAGAGGTTGTGGGCCTTGCCCTTCTAAATATTAGGACTTATTATAAACTTACAGGAATTGAGACATGTGGTATTGGGACAAAAATAGACCAACAGACTAAAGGAACAGAGCCCAAAATTAAACCTATAGATATACAGATATTCTTTATGTGATAGATGTGGCACTGTTGTGATAGGATTTAACACATGCTCCCTCCAAATATGGCACCTTGGTATACTGAATAATCTAAATGGAAGGAATTTGAGAAATGATCTCCTTCCCTTGAAGTAGATCATAGACCCTCAGAGGACAGGTGCCCTCTCTACACCCAGAGAAAAGGAGCATCCTTATCTCCAAAGAGAATGCCAAGAGAAATCTGAATGAATAGATCTTGCTAAATTTCCCGCAGTCTACTCCTCTTGACTCCTACACCATTGTTCTATCACATTTTCCCATGACTTTTCACTCTTCGTTAAACCCAGTAAAAAAACACTCACATTTAACTATCCTTCAGGTCTCCATTTCCTTGTGAAAGCTCCTGGGTCATGGAGAATTTTTTTTTTTTTAAGATTTTATTTATTCAGAGAACACAAACAGGGGGAGAAGCAGAGGAAGAGGGAGAAGCAGACTCCCCACTGAGCTGGGAGCCCAATGCAGGGTTCCATCCCAGGCCCCTGGGACTGTGACCCAAGCCAAAGGCCACCCAGGTGCCCAGAAGAACTTATGTTAAGTAAATTTGTATGCTTTTTGTTAACCTATCTTTGGCACAGAGCCCCCACCAAGAACCTAGAAAGGTAGAAGGAAAAATGTTTTTCCTCCCCACAACAGATAAGTGGTAAAAGACTGGAGTGGTAATTGGTGCTGAAGATCAGGTTGCGTTTCTAGAAAAAAATTAATTTACTTCACACCAGACACAAAAGTACATTCCAGGGGAATTAAGCATGAAAAGCAAAATTTGAAAAAATTAAGGGAAAGTTAGGAGAATACTAACAAAAGATTTCTTAACCAAGACTCAGAAAGTACAAATCATAGATAATAAGGCAGACAATTCATTAAAATTAGAAACTTCTGTCCACCAAACATCAACAACACCAGAAACAAAAGGACAATACAAGACAGAGACTGGGAAAAGATATAGGTAGAGATTTTAAACAACAGATGATTCACATTTAGGATTTATTAAGAACCCCTACAAGGAATTAAATAAATGGGGGCCCAAAAAGGAAATAGGTGAAAGCTGTGAACCGAAAATTCACTACATGTTTTTCCTATGCTTTTCAGTATGCATGAAATATTTCATGATTTACAAAACCAAAGCTCTAGTGTCAAGTTTCCCAGTCTGGCTGTATCATTTAGGACAAGTCACCTGCCCATCTCTGTGCCTCCTACCTCCTTTGTAAAATTGAGGGTTGCATTGGAGGACCTGCCATGTCCCTTCCAGCCGTAAAATTCCATAACTTGTCAATTCATAAATGGATAAAGTGGTGTGTCCACACAATGGACTATTATGTGGCAATAAAAGGAATGAAACACTGCCACCTGCCACAGTGGGGATGCACCTGGAAACAGTAGGCAAAATGAAATTAGCTAGACACAAAGGGCCACATATTGTAGGATTCCATTTATACAAAATGTGCAGAATAAGCAAATCCATGGAGACAAACAAAAGGCAGATTCTTGGTTGCAAGAGGCTGGCAGGAAGGGGAGATCTGGAGGGGATGGTGGGTAATTGGTGCAGGTTTCTCATTGGGGTGACAAAAATGTTCTAAAATTGATTGTGAAAATGATTGCACAAGTCTGTGAATACACTCAAAACCGTAGAGTTGTGAACTTCAAGTGCGTAAACTATATGGCTTGTGAGTTGTATCTCGCTAAAACTCTGAAAAAACGAAAGTTTCCATTTCCCAAAAAGCAAAATTTTCAGTGACCCTGTGTTCATCCTGTGACTATTCACTCTGCAGCGGCAGTGAGCCCCTCCCTGGTGTTCTAGTTAATACAGATTCCCTGGCTCAGCTCTTTAAGAGAGTTGGGGACAGCCTATTAGTAAAAGTGGGTGTTGGTGACTAACTTCTGCCTCCCCTGAGACACATCACATGGATTTGGATGTCGTGGACAGGAAAAGGATCGTGGTGTGGCAGGCAATCTGATAAAGGGAGCTAGGAAGGGGAAGGTCCTATTAGTCAAAGTACATGAAAGCATTCCTCTACAACTGAAGGTAGAGAAAATAAAATCCTGACTCTGGTGGCTGTCATTGCCACCAAAGAGAGAGAGAGAGAGAGAGAGAGAGAGAACAAATGAAAATATGAGTAGCAAGTGGGATGCTGAGATGTTTCATGATCAAGCTATAGTCCTAGAATGAAAATACAGTAGCTTCGGTTGTTTCCAGCTGTAAAAGTGATTTGATGCCGGATATCAATTTTATGGCCTTTCCCAGGGTGTAATAACTGGAAAGTGCTCGAGGAAAATCTCTGTCCGAAATCTAGCAGCACTCCACATGGGTCCTCCTGCCTGTACGAGTGAGAGCTGATGGGGAGCTAGCAAATAATTACGTTATTTCTGCAGTAAAGCCCGATACGTCCCTAATAAAAGTTAATGATTATGCGCAGATTTTCAGACATTCGGAGTCTAGACTGAAGACACTAAAAGGAATCTTTGTACGTTCACTCTTCAGCATTCCAGGTGAGTAGGACTTTAAGGTGACTTCAGCGCCAGCCTCAAGCAGGCCGTCTGTTCCCTTCGGTCATCTGCACGGTCCCGCTTAGGAAAGCCCCATTAGGACCCTCGGAGTAGATCAAGGATGTATTTTATGTTCTGAAACATTAGAAAGCCACAGCATTAAAACATAAATACAAAGGCAGAACACTTTAAAATGAGAAAAAAACATCCTTTCTTGGTAGGGTTGGAAGCTTCATCTCTTTCCCTAGACACGGTAAATAGATCCTTCTCTCTTCCTTCCCCAGTGGGAAGAGCAGGAAATGGGCAGAGAGGGGTGGGCAGGGAGTAGTGATACTCTGACGTAGCTGTAGGATTTCAGAATTGGGAAAGAGCCTCAGGAGCCCTCACGGCCAACTTTTTATCTCACGGAGGAGGAAACCAAAGCTCAGGAAAGTCAGATGACTTGCCTAAGGTCATTGGCCTCAGGCCCCTGGGGAGTTAATGTATCAGGGAGGATTGATGACTTTATGCATTTAAAAGAATGAACTCCCCTAGTTAGAAGATCACTCTGATACCTCATTTATTCATCCAAGGAGCATTTACTGAGCACCTGCTCTGTGCCAGGCTTGTGCCTGTAATGACAGCTTGTCTCCTGCAGCTGCCCTCTTGGGGCAAAGTAGGGAGATGGGTGAGCAGGTGAGTCCGCAGGATACCTACTAGGACTGCTGGGACTGGGACTAAGAGGTTTGGGAAGGCTCCTCTGAGAAGAGGACGTCTGATCTGAGACCTGGAAGACAGGGGAGCAGCCATGAGAAATGAAGAGGCTGTGCTTGCACTGGGAAGAGAAGCCAGGGGCGGAGGCCAGCGAGCAAGGCTTGTTTGGAACAGAGCCAGGTGGCAGCAGGACTAGATATTGGACAGGAGGCCACAGGGGGTTATAAGAGAAGGAGGGACAGATGAGCAGAATGGGTGGTGGAGGGGAGAGGGCCAGAGGGGAGGTGACCAGGAGATGGGGAGGAGGCTTCTCAGGTCTCCAGGTGAGTCACTCATGGTCATGGTGGAGGTGGAGAGCAGGGCATGGATTCAGGTCTCATTGTGGGAACTAGTTAGAGCCACTTCGTCCAGGTGGTCTCTGGGCTCTGCTGACAGTGCATCGACTGCGTCTCTCTCCACCTATCACCTGTCTGTGTGCCCTCCCTGCTCTGTCAAGCCCTCCTGGCCAAGACCCATAGGAGGGCATGTGCTTGACATCAAGACCAGACCACATCAAAAAAACAAATATTTTACTGAAATTCTCTTATGTGAGTGCTGCATTCCAGCATTTTCCATTTTGCTCTATTTTGTTTTTGAAAATGCAAGTTGCAGTGCACTGAATTGGTATAATGGCCTGCTACTGGAGGAAAGTACTGCCCTGGAGATGAGGCCATCTGAAGTCCTCCTCTTCACCCCGGCCTTCCCCACCCATCAGGTTGCAGAGGGCTTGTAGGGCTCATGTTCCTCATGTCTAAATATTAAAACATTATACATCAATTAACTATGATAAACAAAATAAAACATGTAGACCCACCCTAGTCTTCTGTGGGGCCAGGAAATGTACGTGGAGCCCCTGGCCCATGCGTCTGTGCACCCCGCCCTCGGCTCTGCTCACAGCACCCAACCCGCACATCCAAGCTCTCCTCCAGCCTCCCCTCTCACATCCTGTTGTCCCTACCTCAGACCTCTCACCTCGAGGGGCCTGGTCCACCATCAAAAGGGCAGGCCCTACAAGATTGCTTGGGGCCATTGGGGCAGGGGATTCTTGGGTCCCAGAAAACCAAAGTATGACCTAGAAGTGAAGACTGAGCTCCTTGCTCTATGGGGAAGGGTTCAGTCGGTGGAGGACCAAACTGTGGTCCTTGCAAGTAGGAGACCCCAGACAGGGCCCCGCCTGGGCTGGAGGTACAGCAGAGGTCATTGCTGAGGTACCACCATCATGCCTGCCTGCCTTCTCTGCAGGTGGGTGCTTTCCTTTATGATTTGGTTGGTGCAGACCCTTTTTTAAAGTTTAAATAACTTGGTTCATATCATTCAGAAGTAAAAGGCCAGTTCTGGTAGCAAAGAGGAAGGCCAGGCACCTGGGAATGTCTCGTGCATCCTTAGGGCGGTGATCAGTTCTTTACCACAGGCCTGAAGAGTGTCCTTGACTGGTGCCCATGTGGTCCACACACCACTCAAGAAGACCCACTGTTGAAGGGACACCTGTGGATTCTGAGGTTGTTGTTCCTGTCCCTTCTAGAAGACCATCCAGGCAATTAAAAATACAATTACAGAAGGCTTCTAAATTTATTTGCTCCACTGTTAAAAATAATGCATACTTTTATAAAAATGGGTGAAACAAAAATATCAAGAAAAGCATAAAAATAAACCACAGTGCCACCTCTCACAGAAAACCACTATACACATTTTGATGCATCATTCTGGTCTTTTTTTCCATGTTTGTCTGTGTATCCATCTAAATACATGTTTTGGGGGGATTTATGACCATATTGCATGTGCTATTTTGCTTGAGGGCTTCCTTCTTCACTTAACTATACCATGAACATTTGCACATATTAGATATTCTTCTAAGACTGGGTCATGAGCATGTTTACAGCTTTTGATAATCTTTTTCAAATTATACTCCAGAAAGACTGTAGCACTTTGTGCTCAAACTCAGAGTCTCCCTGAGGGCACGGGGGCTCTGGCGTGAGCCCCCAGCAGAAGCAGAGAGGTCAGGAGCACAGACCCCTGCTTAGCTCTAAAGCCTGGTTCTGTACTTCACCCTGTGTGACCTTGGGATGGGTTACCAGATTTTCTAGCACAGGGGTTGGTCAGCTTTTTCTGTAAAGGGGCTGATGAGGACTGCCTTCATGGGCATTCATCCTGGGCAGTCACTGAGGCCCGTAGGCTTAGAAGGGCGCACGTTTGGCTTAATGTTCTGCTGCCTCTGCTTTGAAAAGTCATAACAGTTTATAAACAAGGGGCCCCAAATTTTCCCTTTGCATTGGGCCCTGAAAACAGTGAAGCTGTCCTGAACTGGAGGCAAATATTCTGAGCTTCAGGGGCTGCATGGTCTCTGCTGCTACCACTCTAGATTGCAGGTGTAGCGTGAAAGCAGCCAAGATGATATGTCATGAATGGGCATGGCTGTGCTCCAGTAAAATTCTACCTACGAATGCAGTCTGCAGGCTGGATCTGGCCACAGAGTTGCCAGTTGCCAACCCTGGGCTGCTGCCTCAGTTTCCCAATGGGGCAAATGGGAATATTATTCATCTTATATGACTGTTCTGAGAACCAGTCACTTAGACAAATAAAGCACCTGAACAGTCAGCATTATAGTAAGTATTAGGCAGTGTGAGCTACTTTTACCTTTAAAAAGAATATTATTTTTTTTAATTGTGGGAAAAAATAATTAAAAAAAATTTTTTTAAATAATGGCGAGTTAGACACAATAAAATTTATCATCTGTAAGTGAGCAGCTGAGTGGGATCAAGCACATTCACACTGTGGCGTACCCATCACCACCGTCCCTCCCCACTGCTGTGGTTACCTTGCAAAACCAAAACTCTGTCGCCACCAAACACTGACTCCCTGTCCTCCCTCCCTGCCTCCTTCTGCCAGCCCCCACCCACCACCTTTCTACTTCACCTGTCTCCAGGAGTTTTTGACTCCTCAAGGTATCCCATGTAGGCAGAATCATCCAGTCAGTATATGTCCTTCTGTGACTGGCTCGTTTCACTGAGGAGAATGCCCTCAAGGTTCATCTTTGTTGTAGTGCGTGTCAGAATTTCTTTCCATTGTAAGACAGAATAATATTCCATTGTCTTAGCTCAGGCTACCTTAACAAGGTACCAGAGACTGGGTGATAAACAACAGGAATGCATTTGCCCTCAGTTCTGGAAGTTAAAAGTCCAAAAATCAAGATGTCCGCATGGTCGATTTCTAGTGAGAATGTTTTTCTGGCTGGTAGGGGCCATCTTCCGCTTGTGCCCTCAGTGATGGGGACAGAGAGAGGGAGAGCAAGTGGTCTGGAGTCTCCTTACAGGGCACTGATCCCAACTCAGGGCCCCACCCTCATGGGCCCCACCCTCATGACCTCATCTAAACAGAATCACCTCCCAAAGGCCCCACCCCCAAATGCGCTTCCTGGCGGCTGGTATATCTTTTTGGCAGAAATGCCTGTTCAAGTCCTTTACCTGTTTCTGAGTTGGGTAGTTTGCTTTTTTGTTCTTGAGTCTTAGGAGTTCTGTATATATCCTGGATATTAATCCCTTATCAGATTTGTTATCAATTAACAAATCTTTTCTCCCATTCTGTGGGTTGCCTTTTTACTCTATTGATAGTGCAACTTTGATGCACCAAAGTTATCCATTTTAGTGAAGCCCATTTTTTCTATTTTTCTTCTAATAACTTCATATCCAAAAATTGTTGCAAAACCCAGTATAGTGCAGCTTTATTTCCTATTTTTCTTCCAAGAGGTTTATAGTTTTAGCTCTTATGTTTAGATCTCTGATCCATTTTGAGTTAGCTTTTCATATCATGTTAGGTAAGAGTCCAACTTTGTTCTTTTGCATGTTAATGTCCAGTTTTTCCAGCACAGTTTTTTGTTTTATTTTTTGAGAGAGAGAGAGAGAGAGAGAGAACACAAGTAGGAGAGGGGCAGAGGGAAGAGGGAGAGAAAAAATTGTAAGGAGGCTCCACTCAGTGTGGAGCCTGACATAGGGCTCAATCTCATTACCTGAGATCATGACGTGAGCCAAAATCAAGAGTTGGACACAACCAACTGAGCCACCCAGCCGCCCCTCCATTTGTTGAAAAGACTGTCCTTTCTCCCATGGCATGGTCTTGGCACCCTTGTTGAACATCATTTGGCCAGTTATATGAGGATTTACTTCTGGGACATCTATTTTATTCTGGTCTAGATTATTCCACCAGTCTAGAAGTCTTGTCTTTGTGGCAGTACCAACCTGTTTTGATTATTGTAGCTTTGTAGGAAGTTTTAAGATCAGGAAGTGTGAGACCTCTTACTTTATTCTTTTCCAACACTGTTCTGGCTATTTGGAGTCCCTTGCAATTCCACATGAATTTTAGGATGGATCTTCTATTTCTGCAAAAAGAATTGTTAGAATTTTGATAGTGATTGCACTGAGCCTGTAGACATGACAATTACTTTTTAAGGAGTTTGTAAATTTGGTATTGAAGTGATATTTTGTTGTTTTAACTTGTGTTTCTTTTATTGCTGATAAAAGATTAACTGTATCTGTCTCTTCCTCTCCCTCTCTCTCTCTTTTAGAGGAGAGAGAAGAGCTGAGGGAATGGGAGAGAAAGAATTTTAAGCAGGCTCCATGCCCAGTGTGGAGCCTGGTGAAGGGTTCGATCTCATGACCCTGAGATCATGACCTGAGCCAAAATCAAGAGTCACACGCTGAACTGAACCATCCAGGCACCCCATATCTCTCCTTTTTGAGTTGCCTGCTAAACTTTTTGCCCACTTGCTCACTTAGAGTTTAGGAATCACATATATGAAGGATATAAGACTATCAACACTTCTTTTGCTAAATAAAATATCACCAGTCATTGGGCACCTCTTTAGACAAGCAGCTGTGCTGGATGTTGGCCTACATGGTGTGGTGAGGACAACCCCACAATCCCTGCCTTCAAGGGGCAGGAAGGGAGGCAGTCGTGACAGAATTATCCGAATATGTAATTATGAAATGGGATAGCCACGTAAAGGGGAGGGGATCTGATCTAGTCCAGGGCTCAGGAAGGTTCTTCTCAGGAAGTGATGCTGGAGCTGTGCTTTGAAGGTGGAGTGAGCAGGAAATAGGCACCTGCAGTGGGCGGGGCAGGGGCTGGAGAGACCTTAGCCCTGGCAAGCCCTGAGGCCCTGAGGAGCTGGGTGTGTCCAAAGACAGGAGAGGAGGTGTTTCCAGCTGGAATGTGAAGGATGACATTGAAGGGAAGTGGCGATGGACACAGAGGCTAGAGTTCCAGATTAAGGCGAGGCAGTCAGACAGGCAGCAAGCAATTATTTATGTTGTGTTTCTAGACTCTTTGTCCATAGCTATGAATAAGACTGCACCAAGGCACCAAGGCCTAGGTGCATAGCTCACGGTTCTTTAAGCTTTGCCATTTTCTTGGATGAATTCACCACCCATCATGGGGAAGTTTCCTTGATTGGCTCTTTCACCTGTCCATTTATTCCACAGATAGTCACCGAGCACCTATGATGTGCAGGCTAGTAAATAAGCTAATCTCAGATGCTGATGAGTTTTTGGAAGTGAACAAAGAGGGGAAAGGGTGGAGAGATGACCGAGCTCTGTGTTGGGAGCTAGCGTGGCAAGAACTCTGAGTAGCCACCTTGAGGGTGGCAGCAGGGGAGCGGTGTACGCCCCTGAAAGTGGAATAGGCTCTTCCTCGTCATCCTCAGGGCAGAGGGAAATTGAAAATGGTTTTCAGTCAGGAAGTGGCTCCATCAGGTTTGTGGTTGGGAAAGGTCCCTCTGGCTTCTCTGGGGATGATGAAGCCAGGGCTGCTGAGTAGACCCCAGAGGTCACAGGAGGTCATTTCTGTGGTCCACGTGGGATGAGGGCATCCTAAGAAGGACTGGAGGCAGTGAACACTCAGTGAGGTAGGTGGATGGCTCCAAGGCATTCTAGAAGGATAATCCACAAGACCTGGCAAAGGGTGGGTCAGGTCCAGGCAGGGGGGACCCAAGAGGTAGTCCCAGGTCCCATGAGTAGAACTGGAGAGTGCGCTATTTAATGAGAAACAGCCCAGAAGAGCCGTGCCATGGGAAAAGACCTTGAGTTCGGTCACAGAGCACTGGGTGAGAGAGAGGAAAGTCATGAGGAGGGACCCTGGTTTCCAGCTTACACTACCTAGAAAGATGGTGCTGTTTTGTGGCAAACACCCTTCCTCACTTGTCATTGGCCTTTTACCTTTTGGGGGTATGGGGTTAATTCAGCTCACCGTGAAAGAGTGGCTCGCCTGTACATTTATTACTGTTGACGTGAGATATATCCAGATCATAGATTTTGGGGCCACGCGACACCCTTATGTTAAAAAAATAAAGTCCTTGGTGTGCTCTAAGCAATAACACAAGGCCATGCCTGGACACAGGGTCGAGCTCACCACTTCTTCTAACAGCCGGAGAAACTGAGTTTGTTTCACCATCAATTCCCACGCCACCATCTTCCTCAAATCCTTGAATCCCAGATGTGACTGAAAAGAACCTCGGACCATGAGTTGCCACTGCTCCCTGAAGGCCAAGCACCTGCTGAATCCTTAAATAATTACAAAAACAACAATTTTGCTGGTTCCCGGTACGGCTGTGAGCCACGAAAATTAATTACATCACCTGTAAAATTAGCCGGTGTTTTGCCTCCAAAGGTCAATGTTCAGGCCGAGAAATGGTTTAGTGCTTTCAAACACAGGGCTCAGCACATAAATATTTATCACAGGGACTCATTGTACACGGCGTGTTTACCTTATCAGGCAGTTACCTGGGGCAAAGAGTCCACTGTCTGCTTCCTGTCCCAATTTCTCTTGCCCAAGACCTTGGGCAATTGTTTATTTGACAGAGTGTTCTGTCCCATTCCCTTTCTTCTGGGAATAAAGGCGCAGCCTGCTAATCAAGCACATCACCTGGTCCACAAATACCTGGGGAGAGTTCTAGGTGTTTGCTTGAGAGATCCAACAATGGTTATGAAAGAGAAAACTTCTGTGACACCCACAGGAAGAGCAGCGAACATGCCTTTCTCCATCCCCGACTCCTGTTTTGTTTTGGTTAGTGTTTCGAAAGCTCTCCGTGGATTCTGGAATGCCCAAGATCTCGAGAGTGAAGGCCATGTAGCAGACACGGGCGCACAGCGATCACACACATGATTTGTGGCAAAAACACAGCCTTCTTTTTATTACTGTTTTCTATGTTTATGAAGCGGGAATGTTAGAGAAACATTGGCCAAGTTGGCTTGAATCTGGCCACGTATTTGTTTTGGCCACTCTTAGCTTTTATTTCAAAAGTTCTCATACTCCCCAGCTCGGGCGATTGTTACATAAGAAAGCCCTGCTGGGCCATGCGCCAAAAATTCAACTCAGCATTTTTCCGCCTGCCCATGGTGGTCTGGGGAATGGGTTTGTGAGCCTGTGGAACAGAAGTCTCAGGGTAAATTAAATGAGCTGATGTGCAAGGAGCCTCTCACAACATAGTGTTTTTCAGGTGTTGGTTTTCTTAGACCCCAATGTCTGGTTCTCACTAATCAATCATTACATCCCCTGCGTGGATTTATCAGAATCTCAGCCTTGTCTATCCGAGTAGCTACTAACTGTTAAAGTTTCCTAGCAACTCTGCACTGTTAGATTTTTGCTGGGTTTTTTTGGTAAGATTTTAGTTATTTTTTTTAATAATGCTTGACTTCAAATGTTTTTTTTTTAAAGACTTTATTTATTTATTCATAGAGACAGAGAGAGAGAGAGAGGCAGAGACACAGGCAGAGGGAGAAGCAGGCACCATGCAAAGAGCCTGACATGGGACTTGATCCAGGGTCTCCAGGATCACGCCCCGGGCTGCAGGCTGCGCCACCAGGGCTGCCCTAGATTTTAGTTATTTATTCATGAGAGAGAGAGGCAGAGACATAGGCAAAGGGAGAAGCAGGCTCCCTGCGGAGAGCCTGATTGCGGTACTCGATCCCAGGACCCAGGGATCATGACTTGAGCCAGAGGCAGATGCTCAACCGCTGAGCCACCCGGGTGCCCCTGTTTTGTGGGAATTCGTGGCTACATGCACTATTAGGTTTTAATTTGCAGATATTCTAATTTGCATTTCATTTGGTCATCTCTATTTCTTCTTTCTGAATGGCCTGCTGTCCTTTGCCTACTTTTTCTGGAGTTTTTTTGGAGTTTTAATGTCATATAGAATATCAGACCTTCTTTCAGTAGATAAAATCACCAGTTATCCATCGGGCACTGCTCTAGTCCTGGGCCTTGTGCACGGTTCTTCTGTTTGTTCTAAATATATCCCTTCCAGGTGTC